CGCCCGCGCCCCCCCGCCGGTGGCCCCGGCGACATGGGCAGCGCCGAGGAGGATTATAACTTTGTCTTCAAGGGTGAGTCCTGGGCTGGCTGCGAATCCCCCTCCCCAAAAGGCGCGGAGCAGGAATCTGGGGGCTCTGGGGTGGGAATTAAGGTGCTTCCCCCTCCCCTCCCCCCCAAGCTGGGACAACTGGTGGCAGCTGGGAGCTGCAGAGGGTCTGGGACTGGGGAGGATTGTCCAGGATGGGGCTGGTGGGTGGCACTGGGGTCCACAGAGACCTCTTGAGACCCGTGCCCACCCCCAGGCTGCGCGTGGGACCCCGGGATTGCTGGGCACTGGGCACAGGGAGGGCTGAGACACCCGGGGCTGGAAATGCCGTGAGAGCCCAGGAGGTGCAGCAGGTGGTTAGAAGTCACTAAATGTCACTCTGCTGCAGTGACATGGGTGGTGGCACAGGCAGAGGACACGGGGGTCACACCTGGGCTGGGGAAACACAAGTCACAGCCTTGTGCCCCCCACCTTGAGTCCCCCAGGTGAGGGGTCCCTGTGTCCTGTGTCTCTGCCAAGTGTTACCAGCTGGACCACGTTGCTCCTTGGTGCTCACCTTGGGCAAGTGTGTGCCAGTCCTCGGTGGCCACTGCAGCTGGGTGACCTGGGCCAGTGTCCTCATCCTCCTGCTGCCCACAGCCTGGCTCGGGTCAGGAAGGGTGATTTGAATTCCTGGGAAGTGCCCCATCCCTGGAAGTGTCCGAGGGCAGGTTGGATGGGGCTTGGAGCAGCCTGGGCTGGTGGGAGGTGTCCCTGCCCACAGTGGGACTGGATGATCTTCAGATCATGGAACGGCTTGGGTGGGAAGGGACCTTCAAGATGACCTGGATGATCCCCTAGATGATCTTCAAAGTGGTTTTCCCATCCCTGGCAGTGTTGAAGGGCAGGTTGGATGGGCCTTGGAGCAACCTGGGCTGGTGTCCCTCATGTCAGGGGGGTGGGACTGGATGAGCTTTAAGGCCCCTTCCAACCCAACCCATTCCATGATTCCACTGCTTCTATGAAGTGTCCTGGAGCAGCCCCCTCCCTGACAGCTCCAACGGACTTTCCTCCCTTCCTCCTCCCACAGTTGTCCTGATCGGGGAATCCGGGGTGGGCAAAACCAACCTGCTCTCCCGCTTCACCCGCAACGAGTTCAACCACGACAGCCGCACCACCATCGGCGTGGAGTTCTCCACCCGCAGCGTCCCCATGGGAGGGGCTGTGGTGAAGGCTCAGATCTGGGACACGGCCGGGCTGGAGCGGTACCGGGCCATCACCTCCGCGTAAGGACGGGGCACCTCCTGGGTGCTGATGTCCCCTTTGGTTGAGCTCCACGGGTGATGATGCTCTGGGGAGGGGGGTGTCCGGAGCAGGGGGTGATGGTGGGGTTCTCCCGTAGGTATTACCGGGGGGCTGTGGGTGCTCTGGTTGTCTTTGACATCACCAAGCACCAGACCTACGACGTGGTGGAGCGCTGGCTGAAGGAGCTGTACGACCACGCTGAGGCCAGCATCGTGGTCATGCTGGTGGGGAACAAGACCGACCTGGCGCAGGCTCGGGAGGTGCCCATGGAGGAGGCAAAAATGTTTGCAGGTAGGGGCTGGCACCCCTGGCGTGGGGCTGGGGGCTTGGGACCCTCCCTGACAGCAGGGACCTGCACCAACGTGGGCACCTGAGCGCGAGGCTCCAAGACGGAGCTGTGACCTCCCTGGGATCTGCAGCATCTTGGGGGGTTTCCTCTCTTGCAGACAACAACGGGCTGTTGTTTGTTGAGACCTCAGCTCTGGACTCCACCAATGTGGAGCAGGCGTTTGAGACCATCCTGAAGGGTAGGAGCAGGGATGTTGGGGTGCAGGGGGGTCCCCAAGGGCCAGGGTCCTGTGGGTGCTGTGCCAGGGGTGCAGGGGCTGGGTGGAGGGTGCAGAGTCTCTCTGCCCTGCTCCGTGGCAGCTCTTTGGGGCTGGTTTCAGTGTTGTCTTTCTGGCTGGTTTGGTTTCACTCTCCGCACCCTGTGGCTTTGTTCTCCCAGCCCTTGGGCATCCCCGGAGCCCCGGGGGCTCCTCCTGCCCCTGTAATCCCGGGTTCCCTTCCTGTTGTCCCAGGCTCCTGACTCAACGTCTCCAGCAGCTGGTGGAACCGGCCCTGGGGACCTGGGGAACAGGGATTCAGAAGGGATGCTCAGCTGGGAATGGCAGCTGGGAGCAGTGGGGCAGGAGCACGGGCTGTGCCACCTTGGGCTGTGCTGTGCCAGGCTGTGCTGTGCCAGGATGTGCCTTGCTCTGCTGTGCTGTGCCATGCTGAGCCATGCTGTACCTGTTCTGTGCCATGCCTTGCTATTTTGTGCCATGCTGTTCTGTGCCATGCCATGCCATTCTGTGCCATGCCATGCTGTTCTGTGCCATGCTGTTCTGTGCCATGCCATGCCATTCTGTGCCATGCCATGCTGTTCTGTGCCATGCCATGCCATGCCATGCCGAGCCAGCCTGGCCCAGTGAGCTGCCAGCCCCAATGCGGGGTGAGGCCCTGATCCCGGATTGGGCAAGAGGAAATTGCCCAAGCTGCGGGTGTTCCCTGGTGCTGCAGGGAAGGACCCGGGAGCTGCTCCCTTGTCACCTCTGGCAAGGCCACGAGAGGCAGAGCCGTGCCCGGGCAGGGGGCTGCAAACTGTCCCTGCTTGCCCCGAAGG